AGGTGTAAACCTGCTAGCATACCGAATTCAGATTAGTAGGCTTCGCTGGCTAGGGCACGTATTGCGTATACCCAGCCATCGCACCGCGCTTTATTCGCTGTAGCTAATCCGGGCTGGAGGAAACCACGTGGAGGTCAACAGATGACATGGAGACGAGGCATGAAGAAATGCACAGAGCCATTAGATAGAGTAGGTGTCTCTCGACTTCCAGGTTGGGGTCCGAAAGACTCCACAACTGGTTGGTTGGAGACATTGAAGGATATGGCAGCGAACCGACAGCAGTGGCGTTCTTGTTGTCGTTTCTGATTAGATCAGAATGCTTGAAGCGGTATGTGTGTGCAGAGTTCTATGGTGCACTCTGTGTTGACCATAGAGGTTCACCTTCTTCTCCTTCCCTCAAAATAGAATTAATCCGTGTGCACCTTAAATTTTACCACTAACCTTGTAAGCATTGTGAGTTTGGCAGCAATCAGTGAAGTTCGCTTCACTGTATTACGCTGTACGATGATAATGATGCGATAGGCTGTCATTCGGGTGGTAAGTCCCGAAAAGGTGTTTGTGGTTCTAATTTTGCAGCAAGAAGGTCACACTCGGAGAATATTGACCTGTCTGCGGAGACTAAATGTTCCACTCGTTTGTGTAGTCGGAGATATTCGTGACCTAGCAATACATCTGCGCATAATCTTTTCATTACGGCAGTTTGATATTTTCATAGCTCGAACCTTTGTATGCTATCGAAACCAAGCAATGGCCCTGTGCAACACTTGACACAGCCTTGGACGCCATGGTGATCCGACTTCGTGAAGGTATAATTTTCCAGTTATACTTCTGAACGACGGCCTGAGGTTCGTAACTCTCGGAGCTGCCGGTATCAATGAGTGCCTGTAATGAGATATTTTTGGCCGTTAGTCGTGTAACTGCTTTAGACAGAAAATGAGTAGCTGTAGCAACTGTTACTGAAGAGGGGAGGAAGTCTACCGCTGGTGCAACTCGTTTCATGGGCTGTGAAGCACGACAAACTCGCTGATAGTGTCCCTTCTTTCCGCAAGCTTCGCAGACAGCATCTCGAGCGGGACATTTTGGTAGTGGGTGTCTATCAAATCCACAAAAGTAGCAATGAGAGCTACCAACAGCCGTTACCGGTTCTGTCGCGGCCTCTCGGTTGCATGTTTCTACTGCCGGCTGTACTACATTGGTAGACACGGAACAGGAGAGATTGTTAGTCAGGTTTTGGTACGATACAGCCGGTGTCTGTGCTGTATCCAATCGTCTGGCTAAATCGACGGCCTTTTGAAGGTGGAGAGTTTGTTCCTCGAGCAACCTGTGGCGAATGTGACTAAACTGTATGCCACGAATGAAGGCATCTCTAACCAATTCATCGCGATATTCTTCTGTAGAAACCGGCCTGCATCCACAGTCCTTAACGAGGTCCATCAATAGTTCTAGAAACTGATCCAGAGACTGTCCATTTTGTTGATCTGCAGTAGACAAAACGTGTCGCGCGAAGATTTCACTTTTCTGTTTGACGTATCGCTTTTTCAGAATTTGGATAGCGTCATCGAAAGTTTTGCAGTCTCTGATGAATTTGTAGACCGAGGGGGCAATATAGTTTATGAGTGTATTCAATTTATCGGGATTGAGTGATTCAATGGTAGAGAGGAAAGTTGTAAAGGTTCGGTACCAATGAGTCCAGTGGTCCCCTGCATCAGAAGAGTGAGGATCGATGTCGAATAGCTCAGGTCGGAGGTATTTGTCCATTTTGTATATTCAGTTGATTAAATTGATCATCAATCAAGGAGATGCTCTGAGCACAACAGAAGAGGTAGGCCGTATCGTAGGCTTTAATCAACTGAATAATAGAGGATATTGCTACAATAGGAAAGATGGTGGATATAAGTGCATGTAATATACATACAACGAATACTACGAGAATTGTGAAATAAAGTAGGGTTCCGATACATGACACCTCGTAAGCATTGTGAGTTCGGCAGCGATCAGTGAAGTTCGCTTCACTGTATTTGGCTGTACGATGATGATGATGATGAGGCCACTGTCAGGCATACACAGCACGTGGTTTAACGAACGGAGAGTATTGCGCTGAATTCGATGCGGTGGCGATTTTATATTCGGCGCATTGCCAAACACGACGGTTTACGTCTAGGTTACTAGGTTACTCCAAAAGCCTCAGTATGGTCGGGGGTGGGTTTCTAAGGTTGCGGCTGGTCACCCTTCCCTTGCACGTCGCGAAACGCTCCCATACGACCAAGCGTC